AAAACAACTGTAGTGTTAGTAAGGTTTCTTACCTCTCCTAAATGGGGAGTAGGATTAAATCCACACAGATTGCACACTTTCTTCTTGCACTCAGTGCAAAGGCTGTAGTTGGGCGTGTCTGCTGATCCAACGTTCAGCTCCACATTACAGAGAGGGCAGCTTTCCTTGGTTGTTGAGGCTGGGGCAGGTGCAGGTTTGGCTGCTGGAGCCTTCTCTTCCTGCTCGACAGAAAGGGTCCTGGGTGGTTTCTTGGACCTAGCAGGTGGGGTGTCAGGAGCAGAGTCCGAATCAGGAGGAGACCCAGGAGGAGAGAAGGGGGAGTCAGGTGGTGAGCCAGGGCCAGAATCCGCAGGGGAACCTGGTCCAGAGTCAGCGGGGGAATCTGGTGGTGACCCAGGTGGAGAATCTGCTGCCTTATCATCCTCTCCAGTGACAATATTGGTGGCCGAGCTCAAGAGCGACGATCCAAAGCTGAACATCTGAGAAGCAGCAGCGGGAGGTTTTGCTGATTCTGTCAACCCTCCAAAACCTCCAAACAACTTCCCAGCCACTGACTCCTCCTGCTTTGGCGCGGCCTGCGTCTGAGGCTTCGCTGAATCCATCAAACCCCCAAACCCACCGAACAGTTTCCCTGTAACGGACTCGGAAGCTTGAGAAGCAGCTGCAGGAGGTTTGGCAGAGTCTGTTAAGCCTCCCAGACTGATACCTCCGAACCCCCCAAAGAAGCTGGACTCCTGTTTAGCTTTAGCTGGAGACTGCTGGGGAGTGGACCTTTGCTGAATAGGGCGACCTGTCTTGGGGTCAATTTTGGGGGATCCGCCCACTGAGGAGCCTGGGGAAAGCGGGCCAGGAGAGGTAGGACCTGGGGATTTCTGCCTGGGTGTGGTTGGCGGCGTTAACCCTTGGTCACCTGTGGTACTCTGCTGCTTGATCAGCAGCTTGCCAGGCTTTCCAGGTGCCTGTCTCTGGGGCGAGGGCGGGGCTGAGCCTTGTTTGGGTTTTGTCATGCCAGGGGGATCCATACCTCCCATTGCTCGCTGCATCTGGCAGTTCAGACACAGCCACTCTTTACCCTGTGCATTAAACAAACGATGAGTTAGATTTGACTGGAACAGATTTCCACAATGTTATGAGCACAGACATCAATGGCATGTGTAATTATAAACATTATATACACAGGCAAGCATAACCAATTAAAACCCAAAATAACCATTTTCTTTTTGTTTAGCGTAAAAAAAAACAAATTCAGAGACATGTCCATTAATTAGTGTTTCAAATGATGTTGAATCCCGTTTTCCCCAGCCAAATTGCTTCTTATAACATGAGAGAATTCTAATCTGGCAACAGTTACATAAAACACTAAACAGTCAAAAAAGAGGCAATGTTAATATTCCTTTCTAATTAAATTAAGATGATTTTTTTTTATTTCTACACATGATTGTTTTAAATTCAGCAATAACACAAAGTTTGTAAACCAGGGAAATATTATCAACTGTTAGCAATGGTTGATACATGAATGCTGTTTGTTCTTTCATTTATCATAGGTACTGTATATGTTAGACCATCATAAATGCATTTCATTGCCTGCGCTGACCATACAGTATATCTCAACACCTGTTTCCAAAAGAGCCTGGCACCACACCACAGTGCTCTTTGTTTGGTGTACAGGAAATCTCCTTGGTTTCCACTGTGTGCAAACCAGCGTTTAAAAAGGGTCAGTGTTGACAGTTTGATTACTATCTAGAACAGAACAATGTGTGTAATTGTGTGTGTTATGGTACCTACTGCATATAATCTAAACAGAAATGAGGTCAATTCAATCAACCTAAAACGTATACTACATGGTAGTATAACTGCTGACAGCATTCAATTTAAAGAGATATTATTCTGAAGTAAAAACCCCCCAAAAAAAAAAACACTTCCTGAACTGATCAATCTGCTAAATAACTGACCCCAACTGCATAGTACTATCTGCACAGTAACAAATCCCAAGAAGAAGCTCAAGCAGAAGGAACCAGTCAATTTGCTGTGCAGTAATCATGGCCCACCAGCATTTACCGTCCATGTGTGACGGAGTGTCCTCACAGGCTGGCACAGTATCTTCCTGTGGCCATGACATGAGTCACCTTGATCAACATTCCCTGGGTCCATATGGTCCCTCTGTTCCTCAAATCGTGTGCCACTCTTATGAGCTACACTCCCTTCGCCAGGCTCAGAGAATATGCTGTTAACAGGCCAGTGTTGGATTTAACTATACAGTAAAACTGTAGTATACATCGTAACAAATTATTTAGTCTTATTTTTGAAATCTTATTGTTGTATCTATTTGAAATATGAAAAACCTTTATTTTTGCAGTGTAATGTGGACTGAGGAAACTGACTGGATAATTTTATATTTCACACCCAGACACTTTAATAATGTGTGACCTTTCCCACCCTCTGCCATTAATAACATGGACTGTCTGAGTATTATTAGATAAATGTCACTATACCAGACCACAACAGCCTGGAATATTGTTTTGGATATTTATCACTTGGCAAACTGACAGTCGCATATAAAATATGTCATTACAGGACCTTATTGAAGTAATCCTAAACAAAAATAAAGAAAAAGAAAAAGAAAGTAATCACTGTCTTACCGCTGAGTCTGGGGGGCTGAATCCACAGAGGCTGCAGACCTGGTTCTTACACTCAGTGCAGTTATTGTAATTAGGCGGGTCCTTAGATCCAGTGTTAAGCTGGGTGGTTTTACACAGTGGACATAGTCCACCTCCGGGCTTTCCAGCCCCCTGCTGGCCAGGAGGCCCTCCGCTCTTGGCTGGCTCTCCAGGATGAGCCCCAGGACCTGGTGGTCCTTGCTGTTTAGGTCCAGGCTTCCCAGGTCCTTGTTGAGGGGCTCCACCTTTTTGCTGGGGAGGAACACCCTGTTTGGTGCCTTGACCTGGTGGTCCTTGACCGGGTTTGGGGGCCTGTTGCCCTGGGGGTCCTTGGCCTGTTGGTCCCTGGCCTTGCCTTGGGGCCTGCCCAGGGGGTCCTTGGCCAGGCGGACCCTGGCCTGATTTGGGCCCCTGGCCTGGTGGTCCCTGACCTTGCCTGGGTCCCTGCCCCAGGGGGGGGTCCTTGGGGCCCAGTGGGCCCATGGGCCCTGATTTTTTGGGCCCTGGGCCTGGGGGGGTTGGGAAACCCCCTGGACCCTTGCTGGTCCTGGCCAAGGGGGTCCTTGGCCAGGGGGAGCCTGGCCTGATTTGGGCCCCTGGCCTGGTGGTCCCTGACCTTGCTTGGGTCCCTGCCCAGGCGGCCCTTGCCCTGGCTTTGGCCCCTGTCCAGGAGGGCCCTGACCCTGCTTCTGAGGTCCTCCCTGTTGTGGTCCCTTTGGACCTGGCCCTTGCTGAGGGCCCTTGCCTGGTGGCTTTCCTGGCGTTGCAGATGCATCTTCCTCCTCCTCGTCCCCAAACAGTCCAAACTTGGGCATGTTGACAGAATCGCCCATGGAGGATATGGAGGAGGAGACAGAAGAAGTCATAGATGACACGGCATTGAGCGGGTTGGCCCCGCTGAGAAAGCTGGAGCCAAACATGCCGGATGACTTGGTCTCTGGGTCTTTTGGCTCCTGCCGGAATCTGGATTCAAAAAGGCTGAGGGATGAGGGGCTGCGGCCCGGTGTGGGCCTGCCAGGTGGACCTTGGTTGAAGGCGTCTACAGTGCGACTCTTACTGAGACCTGTAGGGCCCCTGGAGGCCCCTACCTGCTGGGAACGCTGCTGGGCATCAGATTCTGACGGTCTGGAAAAGAGAAAAAAGAAACAGAGTTTTTGTTAGTAGTGTTATTGCTGTTGTTCATTTGTGTTTACTTTGGCAATGTGAGAAAAACGTATAAGCCAAGTCCACACCAACTCTCTGCTGACCCAAAGCCAAAAGAAGAACAACAGACCTCATTGAAAACAAGAGTACAAGACCGGATAGTTCTGAAATATACTGTAGCTCTTTTATCAGCCACATCCTTTTTATTTGTCATTGTAATGTATTTGGTCATAATCAACTAACATTTAAATCATGAATACTTGAACCTCAGTGTCTCTCTCGGCTGAATCAAATCAAACAAAGACAAAAAAAAAGGTCCCTTTTTCCAAAAGACTATTAATATTCAAACAACATTGCTTCGGGTACCTTCTAAGTCCTCTGCCACTACTGTAGCTTCATTGCGCTAATAATAAAGGTTAAGACTATAGCACTCGCTCTTTGTGATCGAAGCGCCTTTTCAACACATCGGTGAACACAAAATGTGTAGCCAGCAGGCCTCGGGGTAAAGCTGACAGGAAAGTGAATACCGCTGAATGACACGGCGTATAGATCACTGAGATAGAGAGGGAAACGCTCGGCTCCATTGGGGGTAAGCTGAGACATCTTTGTTAGCACAGGCTGAGCAACATATGCAACCTACACAGGCTGCCTCGGCATAAGCGTTAAAGTCAAACGTTTGATCCTCAGAGGAAACGCATCAACGGGCTAATGGCTTGATTGGATAATGCTTTGTTATTGTGTGATGATGTGTGTACACAACATAGATGTAGTGGTTCTTCTTGTTTGCAACTCCCTGATGCTCCTGCCCTAAGATGTCTGAGAGAAATGAAATTCCCAGGCAATAAAGTTTAATGCTGTAATGAATAAAGCATTTGATTATTTTTTTTACAACGCGCACTGGGTAGGACATGAGTTTACAGGGTGAGAGCCCGGCTAACATTGTGAGTAGTGGTAATGCCTGCTATTGGCCAATCCACTGCAGCGTGTGTTTCAGCACCACGGACAGCGACTCATTCCAGCACTGACGCCTCAACAGCAGAAGATCAAATCCGAAATCAGAAAGCAGCAGGAGGGAAAGTCTATGAGTGATGACATTAACGCTGCTGTTCTATTTATAGGCATATTAATATTGATGCACCCCTCCCCCAATATCTAGCTCAGATATAAATAACAATTCTCCCCCCAATCGGAGCCAATTAGCAGTGCCGCACATGATTTCCCTTGATCAAGATATCGAGGAATGTCTTCCACCGTTATTTCAACTGAATTGTTTGAATCTTAAGCATTTTGGACTGGAGTTGGCAGAATATTGTTGTCATTGGCAGCTTTCTACCTTCCTCTCCATCCCCAACAAACCACATCTCCCACACACCTGATTCAAATCTTCTAAATAACTGGGGATATTATAAGAGGGGAAACACAGCTTCTAATGGTGGCGGATTTGTTAAGCTCGGTGTCAAGGCGTCGTTGAGATGAAAAAAAAAAAAAGAAAAAAACACTGGGCACGACGGATTTTCTTACCCAGCAGGCATTTCGAAAATTTCGCACAAATACTGGAGGTGTGTCTCTTACGCTCTGATCTCACACAAGAGGCACAAACCGCAGACACTGAGCCAAACAATTCCCCGATTCTGACTCATTTCAGACGTTCAATCGCAATAAAATCGGAGTGTTATTGAAACCGAGGCTTGTACATCTGTGCAAAAAAAAAAAAACTGCAGACACACAACGTTCAAAGCGAGAGCCTATCAACTGGAGGTGCCCGGGCAATATCAGAGCTTGCATTAGGAGAAATACTATATTTTTCTGTCATGCGGATCATCAGATGTTAATAATCATCCATTATAATTAGCTCTAAGAATGGGCTCGTTTCTTGGTGCGGTTGGGAGGATTAGAAATGGGCGTGAACGAGCTCCCTGCCTCCTTAAAGCATCTTCCAAAGGATGCTTCACAACAACCACAACACATCCACGTCCCTCTCTTTACGCATCACTGCCTGGTTGCTGTGAGTATTTTAAGTGCATCCAAAAAAAAAAAAAATAATAATATATATTACTGGTTTAAAAAAATAAAATAAAGCCCTGCCTTCGTGCAGCTGCTGCGCCCCCGGGCTGCCTGCCTTGCGCCCTTGACATCGCCGCGGCGAGCTGCCTCCTCTCCTCCTCGCTGAGTTCACTCAGGTTGACCGGAGTCCCTTCGGGGACCCGGACGAAGCCGCCCTTCCCGTCAGGTGCCAGCCCCTCTGGTAGTCCAGACGGCGGCCCTTCGCCTCCTTCCAGGCTCGCTTCGTTCCCCATGATCGACCCCTCCCGTCCCCTGTATTCGGATCAATGCACGATCCGAGCCCCTCTCCGCGTTTTTTTATGTCCAAAGAGCGCAGCGAACACGGCGTTGCTCGGTGTCTCGGAGCATCTCAGATGATTTATTTTCAGTGGTTATTTTCCTTCCCTGTGCTGTCTTTCCATTTCCCTCGTTTCTCCTTGTTTTTCCGTGTCGCGCATCTCTGCAGCTGTACACCACAGTTACCACAGTTTTCCGTGAGGGGGTCTCTGCTTTACTATTGCTCACACTTACACAAGGTGGTTTCCGCTAGATTTAAAAAAATAAAATACAAATTTACCGACACTAATGTAGGTAACCAGTTTTGTGCAATAGAAAAACACCTCAACTATAAGGCAGAACCTGCGATTAAAAGTCGTCTACAAATGAGTTATATGTCACAAAAAATAGGTCACATCTTAAACCGGATCAGAGGAAAGAGTGGCTAGTCTTCATTTAAAAATCTGGACACGGTTATTTTTATTTTAAGGCTTTTATTTTGAAACCAAACTTGTTTTACTTCCGTTGTTTTCTACGCAACGCTGGTTGTCTTGACGCAGATCCTCCAGCAGCCTCTCCGCTCTCCTGCTCAACGCGCATGTTCCGCCTCTGACAGGTGATCAGAAGACATCAGCGGAGGAAAATATGTTTTTAAAGGGGACCAACTCAACTAAATGTGTCTTTGAAATGGTGTTTTGATTCTTTAAAAGAGTCGAGTCTGAGCGGAAGGTGGGGTCATTAATGCTTTTCTTTTAGTCCTTTACTGGGTTTCTGATTTTAGACCAGGAGAAGATGTAAATACTGTTTGTGGGTCAAGAATCTGGGGCTCCTGAGAAAGGCTTGAGGAGGTTCATATATACTGTATGAACATACACCACACCTCTCCAGTCTCTCAGATATCAGGCATAATAACTCTGTGTGTATCCTTGCTGGCATTCAGTTCACAAAGCAACGAAAAAAACATCAGGATTATTTTAAAAACCACACAGGGTATATCTAATTTTAGGGGGAAATTGCCGCCATAAAATATTCACAAACACAGATAAGACATCTGCGAAGGTCTTCAGATGACTCATAACATGAATAATATCTCATATGCTTCGTTTTTCTTTTCAGCTGGCTGTTGTAAGATGTCTCATATTATATCTAAAGCCTTTATATTCAGAAATATGTTAATGTACAACTGAAGGCTGGCAGAAGCATGTGGGGAAATCAGGTTGACTGTAGCCAGATAAATCACAATGAATTCTTTATCTCCTCTCCTTCTGTGAAGAATTGATTGCTGGGGTTATCGTGGAGAACACTGCATGTGATGAAATGAGCGTAATATAAAAGCTTGTTAATAAAAAGACAGCTATGTTGCATCTTTAAAACATAACAAAATCACACACCCCAATATAGATCCTGGAAACAAAATGATACAGTACAATTGCATTACATCAGCCCACATGCTGAAATTGACTGCAAAACAAACCTACAGTATGTTTAGCTGCACTGTACTGAGGATATGCACAACCAGTCACCAGACCCAACGAGTAGGATATTAAAATATGTCGGCTCGGCTGTACATCAAGCAGATATGTTGCACTATGACAGCCAGTGCTCATTTGCTGCGTTGTCTGTGGAGCTCTGGGGCAGATGTGTCCTCTGTGCACCCAGCTCAGAGCCCTCAATACCTGGGCAGGGGTGGAGAAGCGGACTGGGTGACTAGATTCTGTACCAAGGGGAACCCAGCCAGAGACCAATACTTATGTTTTTCCATACTATTTTTACCACACAGAAAAGCTTTTAAATTAAAAGCATTAAGGACCAGGTGACACTAAAGATCATGTTTGATACTAGTGTATTCTCTGTGTGTCTTTGCTGTTGTGTGTTGTGAGTCTAACCAACTAGCCTAACCAAAATAGCAAAATTGGAATCAATACGGTAAATAAGTAAATGTTTGTGTCTTTTGTTAAATAGATCATTTGACATTTCTTGCAGAGACATAAAAGAGACGATTGATACATCTTTCCACTTCCATGTTTTCACGGTAAATATAACCATAAGATGGTTAGCTTAGCTTAGCATAAAGTCTCAAGGCTGAGGGGAACTTAGGTAACAAAATCTACCAATTAGCACCTCTAATGTTTGTTTAATCCGTACAAGAGCCAAAGTGTAAAAAGGATTTGTGGTTTTACATGTGCTGGATGTTTTCTTGGCAAACCAAAAAACACATTGTGTCATTTTTATACTTTGGTTTTTGCACAGATTTAACAAATAAAATACAACATATTAAATAGTGAGCTTGAGGTGCTGGTAGACCAATTCTAGTGCCAGTCTAGCTATTTCCCCCTTCTTCCAGTCTTTATGCTAAGCAAAGCTAAACATCTCCAATCTCTGTCTATGAGGAGTTATGTGCTTTACTATTTCTTGCAAATACAGCTTTAACACTGTAAAAACAAGTTTCGTTTGTCGTCAGCTTTAACAGTGTAAAAATGTGTTTGAACATGGGTTTATTTGCAGGAAGTTACTGCATTAGGCCGACACAGCGCAGCAAGAAACCCTCACAACATTTAGGATTAAACATGTTGAATAATGAGCTTGGTGCTTGCTCATGTTTTTTATTTCTTCCTTTGGACAGCGTGTCAAACTATTCCTTGAATGGAGGGGAAAACAGTCATATGGTATTATGCTGAAGACGTTGGTGGGTGTTGCAGCCACAGGGTTCAAATCCCACCTCCACTGTCACCCTCACTGTTTCCTTTCATGCTTTGATTTTTTTCCAGCCCTCATTTCTATTTTCTTTATCTTCACAATCTCATCTCCTTGACTTTCCTATGTATACTATATTAAGTAATTTCCCCACGGGGATTATTAAAGTATTAAAGTATTTAAAGTATTTCTGATAGATATGCCTCATTTTTTATACTTGTATCCCTCTTTCCTCTCAGTCTTTGTCCCTCCCTCCTTCTCCTCCTCCTCCTCACCTTAGAGTATGTGTATGTGTAGGCAGAGGTGAGTGTTGGTTTCTGTCTTTAGTGATAAACGATGGTAGTGTAGCGCTTGCTCGGCTCCTCCCCTTCTTCCCACTGATCGCTGAAGCATGGCCTGATTGTCTGTACGCTGTGAGGCGGAAGCAGCTCGTACATGCCCCCCCCCTCTCTCTCCCTCTGTATCTCACCCACACATTCACATAAACACACTGACTGAAGCATCCAGTCATGCAAAGCAAACGCAGTCACCCAGACAGACAGACGGACAGACAGTCGCACAAACACACACAGGTGTAAACACACAACATCAAACACAGGCCTGGAGACAAGCGCTCTCTGAGGCCTGTACAAACCCAGCAATTTACACACACACACACCTGCATACAGTGTACACAGAGCAGACTCACTAGCACAATGCTATCAGGGCCCTTTAAGCAAATTTCTGTTAGAGTAAACAAAATATTGAACTTGTATTTGTTATTTAGATGTATCAGGTGTAAAGAAGTACTCAGATCCTGCATTCAAAATCCTGCTTAAATAAATGTATTACAAAAGTAAAGGCCCCAACTAGACTATGCTTTTGTTTGCAAGGGGCATACGCCAAAACAGAGGGAAACCACTGGTTAATTTGTATTTTTTCGGATCATCATGCCTTTGTTTTACGTGAAGTCTTTGTAACTCGTAACAACAGCTGTCAGAGGAAAGTAGTGGGGTAAAAAGTACAATATTTACCTTTTAAAATGTAGTGCAATATAAGTATATTCAGGTAAAGTACAAGTAAAATAAAACTCTATTTAAGTAGAGAATTTACATTCTGGTCAACTCCTCTGCAGAGCATTTACGCTTTGTGCGAGATGTATTTGCCCTGTGAAGCCTGGCCAATGTAACTTGAGTCTGGTAACCAGATAAGACACACTGCACTGTGTTCATTAAATTTGAATACTCAGTTGGGGTACGAGGCAAAGACACAAAGGCCGGTTTCTTTTGCTGCAGAGTTCAGAGGCAGTTGAACTACAAAACTCAGCTTTACAGCCCTAACACAATCTTCTTAAATACAAAAAGTTACAGGTTTACTCAATGAGACACTTCACCAAAGACATCCCAATAGATCTATGATACTTTTGAGACATAATGTAACACAACAACTCCTTTTCCCCTGTAACATAGTTGAGTTATTGTCCAACAAACTACTTGAACATTCCCCAGAGAGCTTTACCTCCATAATATCTTCTTCTTTTCAGAAAAGAGTGGTTACTTCTCCAAAAGACAAGCAGAAAAAGAGTTACATACCTTTAGTTTTGTGCAGGAGTGTGTATCTGGTGATATCGTTGAAGGCTGAGGTAAGGTAGCTCCCGGTTGACGTTGTACTTGAAAGTGATGTTTAATTTCTGGTATATTAGGACTGAGCCTTTCTCATCCCTATTAGCAACCTGGCACACGGCTAATTCCACCCTCAACGCCAATTTCTCTTGACCAGCGAGACGCTGCAGACTAAAAATACCTTTAAAGTCACAGAGGCTTCCTTTCCCTTCCTTACTCAATCTTACTATCTGGTACATGCATGCGCACCGGCACACGGGTAGGCATGCTTGGGTGCACCTGCTGCCAACACACAAACACAAGCACTGACACAGACAAAGACACACTCATGCACAGACATAAGAGGTCCCTCTAATCCTCTTTTATTCTGAGGGATAGGCCAATCACAGACTGCCCTGTACTGTAAGCTGTTTTCTTGTACACACAGTGCATGAAGTCCTGCTGTAACTCTCTGCTGTATTCGAGGGTCAAGTTAACTCACTGGCAATCAACTAAAAAAACAAAACAAACAAGCAGAAAAGGGCAAATCAATTATTAATCTCTCGCCAAACTACATTTTACCCTCAGAATACTTTCTCTCACAGCAGCCACAAAACGCCCCTAAAAGCAGCATTGAGAAGCCATAACACCACCATCTGTTGAACCCAGTAAACACAAACAAGGGAGGTGGATGACATAACTAAAGCATTACAGAAAACATATGGTTTCTCTGCAGTATTTGAGAAATAGGCCATATATCTTTCACGTA